TTCTTTTATTCATATGTGCATACAATGTTTGGGTCATTTCTCCCCCTTCCCCCGCCCCCTCCATTCCCCCACCCTCCCTCTCCCCCCCTACCCCTCCGCTACCAGGAAGAAATTATTTTGTCCTTATCTCTAATTTTGTTGAAGAGAGAGTATAAGCAATAATAGGAAAGATGAAGGACTTTTGCTAGTTGAGATAAGGATAGCTATACAGGGAGTTTACTCGCATTGTTTTCCTGTACATACGTGTTACATTCTAAATTAATTGTTCTTGAACTAACCTTTTGTCTAGTTCCTGGCCCCTTCTCCTGTTGGCCTCTGTCGCTTTAAAGTTTCTGCATTAGTTCCTTTGCATTGAGGACATCAAATGCTATCTTGTTTGTTTTTGGGGGAGTGAGGGGGGTTCTTGCCTATCCTAATACCTCCCTTGTATGCTCTCGCCTCATCATGTGATCAAAGTCCAGTCCCCTTGTTGTTTTGCCCTGGATCAAAGATCTGCATATGAGAGAGAACATACGATTTTTGGACTTCTGGGCCTGGCTAACCTTGCTCAGGATGATGTTCTTCAGTTCCATCCATTTACTTGCAAATGATAAGATTTCATTCTTCTTCATGGCTGAGTAAATTCCATTGTGTACAAATACCACATTTTCTTAATCCATTCATTGATAGTGGGGCATCTTGGCTGTTTCCATAACTTGGCTACTGTGAATAATGCATGCAATAAAACATGGGTCAAGGGCCGGGAGAACCTGTGTCACATTTCTTTGGGAAACTGTTTATTTCACTTGCCCATTTATTGGTTTTATTAATTTTGGGAGAATTAGTTTTAAGTTCCCTATATATTCTGGTTATTAGTCCTTTGTCTGATATGTAGCTGGCAAATATTTTTCTCCCACTCTGTGGGTGTTCTCTTCAGTTTAGAGACCATTTCTTTTTGATGACAGAAGCTTTTTAGTTTTATGAGGTCCCATTTATCTATGCTATCTCTTAGTTGCTTTTGCTGGGGTTCATTGAGAAAGTTTTGCCTATATACCTATTAATTCCAGAGTATTTCCTACTCTTTCCTGTACCAACTTTAGAGTTTGTGGTCTGATATTAAGATCCTTGATCCATTTTGAGTTAATATTGATATAGGGTGATATACATGGATCTAGTTTCAGTTTTTGCAGACTGCTAACCAGTTTTCCCAGCAGTTTTTGTTGAAGAGGCTGCTATTTCTCCATCGTATATTTTTAGCACCTTTGTCAAAGACAAGTTGGTTATAGTTGTGTGGCTTCATATCTGGGTCTCTATTCTGTTCCACTGGTCTTCATGTCTGTTTTTGTGCCAGTACCATGCTGTTTTTATTGTTATTGCTTTGTAATATAGTTTGAAGTCAGGTATCATGATACCTCCAGCATTGTTCTTTTGACTGAGTATTGCCTTGGCTATTCGTGGCCTCTTGTGTTTCCATATAAATTTCACAGTAGATTTTTCAATCTCTTTAATGAATGTCATTGGAATTTTGATGGGAATTGCATTAAACATGTAGATTACTTTTGGAGTATACAGTTTTACTATGTTGATTCTACCAATCCATGAGCATGGGAGATCTCTCCACTTTCTATAGTCTTCCTCAATCTCTTTCTTCAGAAGTGTATAGTTTTCCTTGTAGAGGTCTTTCACATCTTTTGTTAGGTTTACACCTAGGTATTTGATTTTTTTTGAGGCTATTGTAAATGGAATTGTTTTCATGTATTCTTTTCAGTTTGTTCATTATTAGTGTATAGAAATGCTAATGATTTTTCTATGTTGATTTTATATCCTGCTACCTTGCTATAGCTATTGATGGTGTCTAGAAGCTTCTGAGTAGAGTTTTTTGGGTCTTTAAGGTATAGGATCATATCGTCTGCAAATAGGGATATTTTGACAGTTTCTTTACCTATTTGTATTCCTTTTATTCCTTCTTCTTGCCTAATTGCTCTGGCTAGGAATTCCAGTACTATGTTGAATAGGAGTGGAGATAGTGGGCATCTTGTCTAGTTCCTGATTTTAGAGGGAATGGTTTCAGTTTTTCTCCGTTAAGTATAATGCTGGCTGTAGGTTTGTCATATATAGTTTTTATAATGTTGAGGTACTTTCCTTCTATTCCTCGTTTTCTTAGAGCTTTTATCATGAAATGGTGTTGGATCTTATCAAAGGCTTTTTCTGCATCTATTGAGATGATCAAGTGGTTTTTGTCTTTGCTTCTGTTAATGTGGTTTATTACGTCTATTGATTTTCATATGTTGAACCACCCCTGCATCCCTGGGATGAAGCCTACTTGGTCGTGGTGAATGATCTTTTTGATATGTTGTTGAATTTGGTTTGCCATTATTTTATTGAGGATTTTTGCATCAATGTTCATTAAGCAGATTGGCCTATAGTTCTCTTTTTTGGAGGTGTCTTTGCCTGGTTTTGGGATAAGTGTAATACTGCCTTCATAAAATGTTAGGCAGTTTTTCTTCCCTTTCTATTTCATGGAACAGTTTAAGGAGGGTTGGTATCAGTTCTTCTTTAAAGGTCTGATAGAATTCAGCAGAGAATCCATCAGGTCCTGGACTTTTCCTTTTTGGGGAGACTCTTGATTGCTGCTTCAATTTCATTTTGTGTTATAGATCTATTCAGATAATTAATGCCCTTTTGGTTCAGTTTTGGATAATCATAAGTATCTAGAAATCTGTCCATTTCTTCAAAATTTTCAAATTTATTTGAATATAGGTTCTCAAAGTGGTCTCTGATGATTTCCTGGACTTCCATAGTATTTGTTGTTATCTCCCCTTTTGCATTCCTGATTTTATTGATTTGGATTTCTTCTCTCCTCATTTTAGTCAGGTTTGCCAGGGGTCTATCAATCTTGTTTATGTTTTCAAAGAACCAACTTTTTGTTTCATTAATTCTTTGTATGGTTTCTATTTCTTTGATCTCAGCTCTTATTTTTATTATTTCTCTCCTTCTATTTGTTTTGGGATTTGCTTGTTCTTGTTTTTCTAGGAGTTTGAGATGTATCATTAGGTCATTGATTTGGGATCTTTCAGTCTTTTTAATATATGCATTCGTGGCTATAAACTTTCCTCTCAGGACTGCCTTTGCTGTGTCCCATAGGTTCCGGTAGGTTATGTTTTCATTTTCATTGACTTCCAGGAACCTTTTAATTTCCTCTTTTATTTCATCAAAGACCCATTGTTCATTAAACAATGAGTTGTTCAGTTTTCAGCTGTTTGCATGTTTTTTGTCTGTATTTTTGTTGTTGAGTTCTAGTTTTAATGCACTGTGATCAGATGGAATGCATGGTATAATTTCTATTTTCTTATATTTGCTGAGGCTTGCTTTGTGCCCTAGGATGTGATCTATTTTGGAGAAGGTTCTGTGGGCTGTTGAGAAAAATGTATATTGTGTAGAAGTTGGATGAAATGTTCTGTACTTGATCTATGGTATGTTTTACATCTAGGATTTCTTTATTGATTTTTTTGTTTGGATGACCTATCTACTGATGATAATGGGGTGTTAAAGTCTCCCATGACCACTGTGTTGGAGTTAACATATGCTTTTAAGTCCTTCAGGGTATGTTTGAAGAAATTGGGTGCATTTAGGTTGGTAGCTGTTATTTCCTTTTGGTCTATTTCCCCTTTTATTAGTATGGAATGTCCTTCTTTATCTCATTTGATCAATGTAGGTTTGAAGTCTACTTTGTCAGAGATAAGTATTGCTACTCCTGCCTGTTTTCAGGGCCATTGGCTTGGTAAATCTTCTTCCAGCCTTTTATCCTAAGCCTATGCCTATTTCTGTCGATGAGATGGGTCTGTTGTAAGCAACAAATTGTTGGAGCTTCCTTTTTAATCCAGTTTGTCAAACGGTGCCTTTTGATGGGGGAGTTAAGTCCGTTAACATTAAGTGTTAGTACTGATAGGTATGTGGTGATCCCTGTCACTTAGTTGTCTTAGTTGTTTGCGGGTTCGATTATGTGTAGCTAAATTGATGTTACTCTCTACTTTCTTGCTTTTTATTTTCCTGTGGTTTGGTGCTGCCTGTCCTTTCATGGTTGTATTGGGTTTCACTTTCTGTGTACAGAATCCCTTGAAGAATCTTTTGTAGTGGTGGCTTTGTGGTCATACATTGTTTTAGTTTCTGCTTATTATGGAAGACTTTTATTGCTCCATCTATTTTGAAAGATAGTTTGCTTGGTAGAGGATCCTAGGGTTGAAGTTACTTTCATTCAGTGCCCGGAAGACCTTACCCCAAGCTCTTCTTGCTTTTAATGTTGCTGTTGAGAAGTCTGTTTGTATGTTATTTGTTTTTTCTCTCTTACAGCCTTCAATATTCTTTCTCTAGTCTCTGTACTTGTTGTTTTAATGATAATATGTCATGGGGTAGTTCTATTTTGGTTAGGTCTGTTTGGTGTTCTGGAGGCTTCCGTACCTGTATGGGCATAGTTTTCTCTAGATTTGGGACATTTTCTGTTATTATTTTGTTGAATATAGCACACATTCCTTTTGCTTGCACTTCTACTCTTTCTTCAATGCCTATGATTCTCAGGTTTGGTCTTTTGATGGAGTCAGTAAGTTCTTGCATTTTCTTTTCACATGTCTTGAGTTGTTTAACTAACAGTTCTTCGGTTTTTCCTTTATTTACTATTTCATCTTTGAGTTCTTAGCTTTCCACATGACATGCACTGTTACAAGCTTTCCCCATGCCAAGGTTGCTGAGTGGGGGCCACCACTCCTGCCTTCTCTGGATTTGTTTATTTACAGTTCTCGTGGAGAAGAGCCCCTCCCCCTTCTCTGGTGGAACTGCCCTCAGGACAGCCACTGTTACAAGCTTTGCCAGCTCCAAGGTTGCTGGGCGGGTGCCCCCCCTTCCTGCCTTCTCCGGCTGGCTTATTTATTTGCCGTTTGCGTGGGGAGTGCCCCTCCCCCATTCTCCGGAGCTCAGGGTGCCCCACCTCTTTGTTATGTGTCTTTTTTTTTTTTATTAAGTTGCTTATTATCCAGTTTTTGGTTTTGTTTTGTTTTTTCTTTTTTTCCTGGTCGAGGGTCAGTCTGTCCAGGGGGCTATGCTGATTTGTCCCAGGGAGTACCGCATGCCAGTTATTTGCTCACCCGGTGGTCTCTTTACAGGGTAGGAGCTGGTGTCTGGTGGCACAGGAGCACTTCTGATTTTAACGTGGCAGGGAGATGCTGTGCACGGGCTGTAGTTGTGGAGGTGTAGGAGTTTTGCCTCTTCTTGGTGGTTTTTCCTGCTAGGTGTATTTCCGGTGTCTCTCCAAGAGTTTACTTTAGGAAGCACGCTTTCTGCTTCCTCCCTCTAGTCTTTGGTGGTGTTCTTGATGCTAGCTATTCTAGCAGGGGTGAGGTGGAATCATAGTCTTCTTTTGCTTTATGCAGAATGTTCACAGGTTTTACTTGTACTTAGTAGAACAAATAAATTCATTTCATTTTAACTGGGAGCAGAAGTTGTAATTGATCTGTTTATTTTGAGTGTAATTCTGTTTTAAATATAAATATATGTTGCCTGTCTGTACAATGTGTAATTCTTGAGTATAAAGCACATAGTTCTATATTGTTGTAAGTAATCAAATGCCATTAATTAAGCCAGTATATAATGAAAAGATTTATAAGGTCTTTGTTTTGAATCCCACTTTTTAAAGTGCTAATATAGAAATTCCAATACCTGTTGCTCGTACTGAAAGGAGAGTTTGCATTAGTCTAGCTTTGAAGGTACAGTGATTGCCTATAAAGCTGCAGTTTTCCTTTCTAAAGAGTTAATTCTTTCCAATGTCCTCTAGAATTTGGAGTGGCTTATTTTACTTATGTAACTGGATCCATGTTGGTTTGTCAAAATTTAAGTACCCACTACAAAAGAAAGAAGCTACTTTTCTAGTAGAAAACTGACTGTTAAAAATCACTTAGCTGACGTCACATCTTTTGTTCCCATTTGTTAGATCATTTTTATCTGTGGCTTATACTAGAAATAAATCTTTATACATCACATGGACATCAAATATAAACATGTAACTTTGAAAGCTTATCCCATAGAATTTCTAGAAGATAGAAAAGATCATTGTAAGGTGAGTCTCAGTTTGTGTCATGTGATTTCATTCATTCATTTATCCCTGTCCCCCTAGAGGCATTAATGTGACAAGCCTATTGCATGCAGAGTGAAACAGACTGCCATCAACTACTGGTATGTTACTAAGCATGTTGAGTATGTATTTACATTTCCCTTACAAAGAAATGATATGGTGTTAGTTTGTTAGTTATGAAGAGAATGAGGGGAAAAACTTTAGAGGAAGTTAGTAACAGACATTACCTTAATTAATAGTATTCTTAAAATTGTATGTTTTGTCATATCTTTTATTAGATTATGACAGGTTGCATTATGATAGTAATGAAGGATAGCTAGTATTAATTTTATTATTAAACACTAACCATAAACCAGCTGCAGTTCAATGCTTTTCATAAGCTAATTTTATTTATTATAAATTAATTACACATACTTATGTATCACATACATAGATCCTAATATAATTTACCATCAAGTAATATAAAAAAGTAATTAAGGAATGTTTTAAGACTAACTTAATCTACTTATTTAGGTCAATATTTATGAAGCAGATCTGTTTCATGCCTTGCTAAGAACTTGCTAATGCTATTTCATGTTAATAAAAGATTTAAGTCTCTGATATAGCTGGTGTGCAAACTGCAAGAATCATGCATGTTTTATGCATCCTAAGATTTATTGCTAAGCTGTTGCTCCTTAGCCCCTTGCTGTCTTGCCCTTTCTGGGTAGGGCTTCTGTGCATTAGCCTCAGTAGCATTGCTCCCTGCTGATATAAATACACTCATGGTTAATGAACCTGAGGTGTGCTAATCAAACCTGTGTTTTATTGACACAGTGACTGTATTATTATACTACATGAATGTTCAGCCCTTTCTCTTTCCTTAATGGTCTAATGAGCTACTTGCTTTAAACCCAAGTCTTTTCTACACCCTCCTCATTTTGTCCTGTAGGAGGTGGCCATTCAAAACATCTAGACAGGAACTTAACCAGTTAGTTCCCTGCTGACATTAGTAAAATACATAGTAGTCCCTCAGCATCAAGGAACTTCAGACCTGCAGGGAACAGTTCGACTCCATTGTTTTTGGTTTTTTTTTGAGATAAAGGAGTAATTTTTGTTTGGATTGCCTCTCCCATTTTCAAGTAGGCTTAAAAAAATCCACATAACCTAACTTTTATGTAAATTATTCTAAGTATTTTATTTCTTAAATTGTATGAGTAGTTGAAGTGATTTGTCCCTCTCTTTTGGAAAAAAGAAAACTTTAGACTAGCAAGGTAAATATCAGAATGTACAATTATAGTATCTTACCTGGGCTTTTTGAATTGCAAATCAAACTGGGAAACTTATTTTAAAATAAAAATTACTATAGGTTTGCAAATTTCAAGTGAAATCATGTTATTTAATTGACATATTAGAATTTATGTCTCACCTTTTAGTGAAATAAATTTTAGTACTTTTTATAAATTCAGGAGAAAGAAACAAAATGTCAATTTATAGTCATTGATGGTATTACAAACCCAGAACAAGTGTTATATCAGTTGCTTACATTTTAGAATATCAAATGTAGCAAAACAATGTGACTTGTAAACAATAAGTCTTTAAAAACAAGGAAGATGACTTTTGTAGTCTAAAACTATTCATTTTTCTTCTATCAAAATCAAGGTCCTATGACATTATACATGGGAATTTTTTGAGTTACAGTTGTGGAAACACATGGCTTTGTTCTAGCAGAAAATTTCTGACTAGTCCCTTAAGATCTGTGCATTACAGTACATAATGAATTTTATTGCTCTAATTATTTAAACAGTGTTTTAAGACTCCTGGTTCCTGATAATGCTTTGAATTGTAGATTTAAAAGGATGAACTTCAAAATATCACCTGTTTTTTCATTCACCATTTTATGAATATTCCTGTTTTTACTTCCAAGAAGAAAATATATCATGGTTGTTATTATGACTCATTGATGAAGTATGTAAAATATGACTTTTTTCAAGCCTTTTATCAGCATATTACTATGTTTTGTTTAATTTGAAATTGGGTCATCAAGCAATAGTTTCATGGTTTTTTTTACATATTTTTTGTAGTTTACTGGGTAATCTCAGTGCAGTGGGGCGAAAACATGAAGTGATTTTTATTTCTTCAGTTACCTCTTGTATGCCCTGCCAAATCTCCAAATCATATTTACTAGTGCTATCTTTGGCAAGTCCCAAGTTTGCTTGTTACCTTTAGTTTTTAAAAATCTAGTCTAAGGGCTGAAGGGCGTGGCTTAATGGTAGAGTGTTTTGCCTAGGGTTCAATCCCTAGCATGAATAAGTAAGAATTAAGTAATCTAGTTCTGTGTGAAACTACAAGTTCATATTCTTCTATTGCAAGCCATCAGTTTTGGCTCAACAGATTTAGAGGAGGAAGCATACATATACAGTAGTCTCTTTCTCTACTACTCCTGCTCCAGGATTTGTGGCTGATGAGGTGAGGGCTTGACCTTGTTCTGAGACAGCTGCCTTCACACTCACCTCTGTTTTCCCTGCCTTACTCCTCTCATTATGGGAGGCTTAGTTGGGACTAGCTGAGGGAGAGGTGGCAGCTTAGCCTGTTTCATCTACTGCTGACTTCCTCATGAATGGTGTCTATGATTTTCCTGAGGTGACGGTCAGTTTTTCCCAGCTCCCTCTGACCTTGAGGGACAGACATGTTTTCTTTGGGCTTTACCATGGTTGATGTTCCTAACTGCCTCTGTTGGTGGGTGTCACTTGGTCAGCTTGGGTTGCTCAGTGATTTCTGCCAAGATTCTCCTTCATTCCCTATAAGGGCCATGGGAATCTGGGTGACCATGTCTTCCACTGTCCTTTTTGTTTTTTCAGGTATACTCCATGCCTGGGACTCCTTGAACAGGCTCTCAGATATCTGCAAGCCTGGTCTCTGTGTCTTCATATGCTTCCAAACTGCCAGGAACATACTGTAAACTGAGGAGACCTACAGGTTCTATTCTTAGATACCTCCCACCAGGGAATGAAGTGTTAGTGTTGCCATTGTGCATATTCCCACTCTGTCAGCTGTTCTCTTTGAGCTACCTTACTTACTGGAAATACTTTATATCTCATACGATTGACCATCCAAAATAATCCCCTCCTCTTTCCTCTCTGTCCCTATTCCTCTGTGTATTCTTTGTGGTTGGACCAGTTGTGCTGACTCTTATAAGGGATTGGGAGAAGAGAATAAGGCCTACCCCTACATATTGGCAGCTCTTCAGAGTTCCTTTGTGATTAGTTATGGGTCTTAGTGTCAGTTCTGGGCAACAGGAAAAACATCAGGATTAGGTTCCTACTTGTGTGATAAAAAGCCATCGACATAAGCTACAGTCTGGGGCTGGTAAGAAGTCCTCAGGGACACAGGTTCCTTCTACCTCACCCTGAAGCATGTCAAGGTTTCTTCACGGCCAAAAATGGTAAAATAATATCTGTACTCCAACCAATAGGCTGGTAAAATGGGGAAAGGAGAACAGCAAGAGGCACACACTTGAAATCTCTTTTAAAGTTGCTAGGAAGTCACCACAGAATTCTTTCATTTGCATTCTTCTTAGTCATCTGGCCAGTCAAAGCTACAAGCTTGCTTGGGAAACAACAGTTTTTATTCTGATCATCCAAAAGTCCAGCTAGTCATTGCTGTGGAAGGGTACTGGAGGTTGGCTAGCAGCAGCACTATGACATCTTTGAAGTTGATTGCTAATTTCACCTTTATCTTTCATGTAAGTACACTAATATTGAATGTCTACAGGATACATAATATCATAGTACATGCAGACTCACTATAAACAGTATACAGTTAGGAGAAAAGTTAAGTCTTTCAGCTTTGATATCTGAGCCACTGATAGAAAATAAAAGGTTGAGATTTATCTTTCTGACTGGAATTATCTTATTGTATTTTTGTCCTTTCTAGTTTTCATTTTTCTAGGAGAAAGAATAGAGCTACACTAAGTCAGCTGACATAGAAGCGTGTTCACTGTCATTCTGTATATTTAGGAAAGTATCATGTTTTCATGTAGACTTTCAGTTGGTATGGAATATATTTTTATTTTATTAAACTTAAAAGAACATGTTTTAATAGCACTGTATTAGACATAATACTTTAACTGTACCATAAATGCTTGCAAACTAGACTATTTCATTGTCACCATTCAATGACTTTTGCTTAAACCTATTATGGTAAGTTTCATTTTCCCTGTCAGACTTAGCTGATGTGTGGTGAACAACACTTCTGCATTCTTGAGGTTATATACATTGATTGAGCTTTTAATTTGCTCAGGAGGTGAATTAGAACTCTTGTCAAATCTTTTTCCCCAATATTAACCTGGAAAAAATGTTTTTTATCATAAAATCTTTATTGTACTTTGGGAACAGGGCTGATACATTGACTTGATTTAAGCTCTAAACTACTTTTATAGATTTGCTGAAGGAAATTTCCCTACCTTCAGAGAAAATGATGAACATTCTTAACAGTCCTACTGGTTTAAAAAGGTGATTAAACCATTAGACTAGGATTCATACTGTGATTTTCAGTCAGATTATATATGACAAAACTGGTAAGTCCATATACTATAAAAAAGGAATATGAACATTATGAAGCAATTTGGATAAAGTTTCAGATAAGGAACATAATCTATATGTTTAATTTTTCTTCCTCAGAAATTCAGAATTCTCACATAATAAGCCTTTACTCTAAATTTATACACATCTAACAAACTGAGCAAGTTCTGGCTTAATAAAGCCAGTTTTTCCTTTAATAATATAATTAGTAGGAATCTCATTTTATTCTGTAGTCATATTTTCATTAATTTATCACAAAATAATACTCTTATTATCTTGTTAGTTTATAATGTAAAAAACACTGACAGAACTTTTTTGAGAGTAGATAAATGGAGGTATGGGAATTTTCTTAATGAGAAGATGGATTCAGGTTCTTCTTCACTCTGATATGCTCCGTCAACATGGGTGTCTTACAAGTGCTTTTAATAATGGTTAGTTTTATTTAACTGAAAAATAATAGTCCTGTAACTTTGCAAATAATTTCACTTGAATTCAATTTGATTGTAATGTCAAAATTTCAAGCAAAACATCACATGTATATTCATTGGTGATTTCGTAGGAATTGTAATGTAGAAAAAGAAGAGCGTCACTACCAGTTAAGTGGCAAGCACATACACAGAGTCAAAGATGAGAGAAAACTCAGGTTGGCAAAGTTTCATTAGAATCCTTTAAGTCCTTTATGTGTTATACATTATGAAGCGCTAGAACGTGGGCTGGTGGAGTGTCTCACGTAGTAGAATGCCTCCTTATCAAGCACAAGGCCCTGAGTTCAAGCCCCAGTACTACAAGTTCATGCCTGTAATCCTAGCTACTTGGGAGGCTGAGATGGAATGGATGGCAGTTCAAGGCCAGCCCGGGTAAACAGTTCTTGAAACCCCATCTCCAAAATAACCAGAGTGAAATGGCTGGAGGTGTGGCTCAAGTTGTAGAGCACCTCCCTACTTTGCAAACATGAAGCCCTGACTTCAAACCTAGTTCTGTCACCACCATCCCCCAAAAATGGGTATAACAGTTAGTTGTGAATTTTTCTATCATCTATAAATGAAGAACATTTCCTAACCTACGTTAAAACTTCAAAAAGACTTTAAGTGGCATTAATAAGCTTTCCATTTATATTAGAGGTTTCCAGTAAGGTTTTAAGTATTTGGAATATGTTCTGGAGAAATTATTTGAAGTTTTCTTGAAACCTACACCCTTTGTAAAAGGACCTGTTTTCATCTGGCTCCCTCTTAAAAATGGTGTTCAGCAGATTGCGTGTGTTCTATTATAGGTCCACTACTGTGATAGACAAAGTGGCAAAGAATGTGTGACCTGTCTGACCTTAGCCCCTGTGCAGATGACTTTCCATGCTATTGGAAGCTCCATTGAAGCCAGCCATGATCAGGTATAATCTGCCACTGCCATTTTGCTGCATTATGGCCCAGCTGAGAAACCGAAGGCCACCAAAATGGAAGTTTATGTGCACACATCAGCTTTGCTTTCCTTAATACATTGTCTACTAGCACCATTTGTTAGACTTTTGAAAAATTAAAATTATTTGTGTGGGGAAATATCTTAGGAGATTTAAATTATTTTCAATTTCTCCTTTATAGTTTATTATTAAATTAGAGAATTCTCTTGTAAGGAAGAAATGTCCTGCATACTTTTTAATGTTTAATAATCATACATGAGAAGCACAATCAACAGAACAATGTAGATAACACTAGAGTCTTGCTATGATACTCTCATTTGGTTCTGTTGAGGAGTTTTATATTATATAACGTATATAAAACAACCATTGTGAACTTTCAGAACCATCAGTTTAATTCCATAATTTGGGATATTGCTGAAATGAAGTTCCAGTGTTGTTTTTACTTTTAAAGCTTTTTCTTTTCTGAACTAAAACTGAAAACATGAAAATTATAGCTTCTCAATAAACAAATTCCTTGGATTTGTTTAGACAGCTGCTTGGAATCCTATTTACAAGATAATACATATTTTCAGTTGAAGTAATCATTGCATTAGACTAAACCAATGATCTAGATCATAGGATTTCTAGCTTTGAGCCAGAGTGAACAGACATACACATTTACTCTATGACTAACCAGCCGTGCTTTCTAAATTAACCATGGAAAGAACAATCATAACCCACTTCAGACTTAATCATTTTTCAATAAATTTGAGTACTTCTAATAGTCCCTAGACTAATCTTTTTTCTTTCTAAATAGTGCCTCCTGCATGAAGGGAATAAAATAATATAATGGTCCATCTTCTAAGGGCTGGGTGTGGTGTCTCAAAGCAGTAATCCCAGCTATTCAAAAGGCAGAGATCAGGAGGATCATGACCTGAGGTCATCCTGGGCAAAAAGTTGGCAAGACTGCATCTCAACAAATAAGCTGGGCATGGTGGTTCACACCTGTGATCTCAGCTATGTTAGAGGCTAAAGGTAGAAAGATTATGGTCTGAGGCCAGCCCCAGGCAAAAGGGCCAGACCCTATCTGAAAAATAACTAAAACAAACAAAAAAAAAGGCTGGAGTATGGTTCAGGGGTAGAGCACCTGCCTAGCAAGCATGAGACCCTGAGTTCAAACCTAGTACCACCAAAAAAAAAAAAAAAAACAAAAACCACACCCAAAAGTGCATCTTCTCAAACTTATAATTTGTCATTGTTCAACTTAAAACTAGACCTAGGGACACATTATTATGGGCACACCCTTACAGTTTCCAGTCCACGATGTCTCTGATCTTGTGAGTTTGCTACCATCATTTGTCAGTTGGTGGGGAGATTTTGTGGTATTTAGGAAAGAACAACTAATTAGTGGTCTGAAAAATCTGAGTTTTAGGAACTAATCATGGTCTAAGTTAGCTGTAGGGACCTGGACGGATTCTACCACTTCCTTGTCACTCATTTCCTGGAGTGTCAAATGAAGAAGCTGGGTTAGTTGGCTTGTTAGATATTTTCCAGTACTATCGTTTTATGATTCTGTAATTGATCTTACTGCTCCTGGTTGAATGAGCTCAGCCAAAAATAAGCAGGATTAGCATGTTGATTTAGAAGACAGCTAGAGATTGCTCTAGTACTCCTTGGGCTCTTATTATACTAACTTGTACCCTGCCTACACAGGCTGTACTGTAGGGATCTGAGAAGCATAGCCTAAACTGGCTAACAGGAAGTAACATGTCTCCCTGGATGAAGCTATAATTAAGCTACATGCTAAGCACACATGGTTCCTGTTCTCATGGAGGTTATAGGCTAGCAAACTCACCCTTTTGCATATTTGACAGGGGTAGCTATCTCTCTATTTAACTTTGTCTCCTCTCATGGCAGCAGCAAATAGCAAAAATAGTATGAGATGCTATCCTGCAGAGGTGTTTTCAAGAAGTGAAAGAGTATGTCAGTAACCTACACATCTGTTATTAGAGGTAGCTTATTCCTATAAGAGAGCATGGGACTGGGAATGGAGACTAGCATTACACGCAAGTTTACCATGAGTCAGATGTGGGACATCGTCTCTAAACCTCTTTGAAACTGTGTCTCCACATATAAGATGATGAAAATGGTCAGGCTTGTGCCAAGTTTGTGTGCCAAGGTACTCCAAAGTCCAGAGCTAATGTTAGCCCATTTGGCACCTTTACAGATGAGAGAAAAGTGCCTCTTCCTAAGGCTTTTTACTGCTATCCAACAGAAACTTTTATTATTATTGTTGTTGTTGTGCTGGATGGGGGTACACTGGAGGATTTGCAAAGGTTCTTACAGTGTATCAGATATTTCATACTAGAATTCACCCCCTCCACTGCCCTCTTTCATTCCCCTCTCCCACCCCGATGCCTGGAACAGTTTCAACAGGTATCATTTTTACATCTACTTACATGTGTATACATTGTTTGCACCATATTCATCCTCCTACCCCTTACATGCCACTCTCCCTACCTGCTGGTGCAAACTCCACCCCCCACCACCACCTGCCTCTGGGCAGAACCTGTTCCACCCTCCTGTTCTCTAATTTTGTAGAAGAAAAAAACATAAAAGGTGATAAGAGAAACATAGTGTTTTTGCTAGTTTGAGATAAAGATAGCTAATGGGGAGATTCCTTGTGTTGTTTCCATGTGTATATGTATTACAACCCCAATTAGTTCATCTCTTCCAGTCCTCTTCACTCCTTCCTAGTTCACTTCCCATGGTGCCCTCTGCCAGTTTAAAGATTACTGTATTCATTCCTATACAGTGAGCACATTCAACCACATTCAAGTTTTTGGTTTCCATTCCCTTGCCCTATCCTTCCTGTGCACGGTCTCCCCTTACTGTGACCCGTCTTCAGTAATATTGTTGCATTCAACAGAAACTTTTTGTAATAGACAAATCCACAACTATGCTGTGAGTGGTGCTTCTTTAAGGCATGTAACACACAGCTTATATAACTGCATGTAATGGTCTTATGCTAAATACATTTTTATGTTAAAACAAATACTACAGTTATGTCATAGATGACGAATTTGCACGAAATTTTAAGATAAAAGAGGAACTTTCAAATATGTTGACCATGGTTGAATGGATGAATAGATCCATGACAGAAACAATCATCCTATGCATTACACTCCTTGGTGGCTTCAGGGGTGCAAAGTTGGCGTGATCACTGCTCCTGCTTGTACTTGAGTATCCAGTTCCCCAAGGCAAGGAGGTACAGAGGAAACCTCTGCTCCACATCTTGGGCTTTTCTCTAGCGTGTTGCCGTTACCTGTTCCCATCCTGTTCCCATCCTGAGGGTCTGCCTGATGCAAAGGCACTCACTCTTTCACCACACCAACAGCATAAACTTAACCTCATAAGGTGGAAAGGATGGACCACTAGATGCTTTTTCAGCCATTAGTTTTTAAGTACTAAATAGGAGACCATGTTGAAGAAAAGGTATGATAATTTGAAAAGTCATTATATTCTTAATCCATTTGAGCCAATGCGGTTGAGCAAATGGAGTTGCTCTTCTAAGAAAAAAGTATGTGTAAAATTTAGAGGAGGTACTTGTGAAGCTCAGATTGCTCTTACCTATCCAGAAAATGAAGGTGGGAAGTGGAAGAACATTCTTCTTGAGCTTTGAAATTTACCTTCTTCTCTCTGTAAAAAACTCTAGGAACTCAGTGGAGACTGAATTCATTATCTTAGATACATTCACTGACTGTGTTAGAGAGTCACAGGGAAAGGACTATTAAGTGAAATTTCTCTGTCAAAGTTCACTCTAGGCTTCTGATGCAAAATGGGGAGAGGAAAGATTCAGTTCCATCTATGTACTGAAGAGGTCTAGAGTAATGGAGTTCTTAATTTTCCACCTCCCCTACCAGACCTGCTCCTCCCTCCTTTCTTGTCTTTTTCTCTCCCCCATGCTAGTAATTGGCCCCAATATCCACTTATTGGTCAGGCCATTCTTGAAGCCATCCTGACAACTCTCTCTCCCAGCTGCTACATTCAGTCCCAGCAGTTCTTCCTTTAGCCCCTCTCTGATCTGATCACTTTTTACCACCCCTGATGCTGCCATTCTAGTTTAAGTAATCATTGTTTTTATCCCAGGTGACTGCAGTAGCCTCTAAACTAGCTGCTTTTTTCTACTTTTGTTCCACTATAATCTGTCTTTCATACACTAGCCAAATTATTTTTGAGTTTTAATCAGACCACATTACTCAACTGCTCAAAGTGGCTATCCCACCACACCCACTGAAAATGCAGCATTTTTTGATACTGCGTACAAGCCCTACATGGTTTGGCCCTTCCACTTCTCCAGTCTGTTTCTGCCTTTCTCTTGTGCCTCAATCTCAGGGAACTTGTGGTCAGTTACATCATGGTAGTGAAAGAAATCATCCATAAGGCTGTACATTCCATTTATGTGACAGTCTGGAAAAGGCAAAACTGTAGGGATGGGAAACAGAACAATGGTTTCCAGGAGCTGGGAATATGGAGAGGTACTGACTAGAACGTCATGAATTTGGAATGTGCTATGTGCTAATAGGAATGTGCTTTGTCATGATTGTGGTAGAAATATGACTTTGAATTTGCCATACCCACAGAACTGTACTATAAAAAAGTTAAATGTAGGTAATACTTGAATAAACCTGAGAAAAAGCTGGATTAATTGCTTTATCATACAGCATGGACACAAGGAAATGTGGAAGGATGACATCTTTTTACCTCTTCTGCGTGTTGGATCCTCTTTGAAATGCACCAAACTTAACCAGCACCCGGTTTAGAACTCCTCTGAATGCGGGTAACTAGTAAGGCCTGTTTTAGATGTCCTGGAATAATTATTGTTAGTCTGCAAAAAGTGGTCTAGGCCCACTCCCGTCTGACTCAGGGAAAGCTCTGCAGGAGGCTTTCCATTTGGAAACAATTCTCATTCAGACTGTGGGCAGACATTTAGG